AAATAAAGGGATTTTATTTTTTTTTAAACCTGTGCTGCTGCATAGCCATGTGTCTTTATCAAAGCATGGATCTTCTAATCTGCTGCAAATTATTTTTAATATGAACTTTGTTCCAAAACGTCTCTAAAAAATCACTGTGCACTGGCGGAAAAGCAGCTTCAGGGCTGCCACATGAGACCAAATGTTTTCAGTGATTTTTCTTTTTTTAAGCATCTTGTGTGGTTTTTTTTTTTATTAGTTCTGTGTCTTCTGAGTATGCTATTACCTAAAAGGTCAATTATTGTTACTTGTGAGATTTTATTTTGTACATAAATATACATATATTTCATGCAAGAGGTGCCTGAAGGGCATCACCATTTTATACAAAGAATGTAAATGTAGAAATGTAATTGGTTCCTGTATCACAACAGGGAAAATGGATTTAGTTTTTGTATATAGTTTAAGATTCATGATTGACAATGCAGAACACTAACCATATCTTTGTGAAATAGGTGAAGTCCCCTGCATTGCATTTCACATTAGAAATGTCATCACTTAACAAATGCTCAGTAAAACACTATTGATGGAAATCTTTTAACATTAAATATAAATATATGTATATGTTACGGAAATAAACATTTTTCATGATTTAAGCTTTTGTGTTGAAATTATTGATTACTATAATTATACAGGATTTATATAGCGCCAACAGTTTGCACAGCGCTTTACAATATAAGGAAGACATTACAATCACAATACACTTCAAAACAAGAAGGTAAGGAGTACCCTGCCCATGAGGGCTTACAATCTAGAAGGGAGGGGCAATTGATACATCAGGAGATAGCTGTGTGGGGATGAATTGTTTGAGAAAGTGATGGTTGAGTGGTTAGGTTGAGGTGGGATAAGCTTCCCTGAAGAGATGAGTCTTAAGGGATCGCCTAAAGGCAGTAAGAGTGGGAGATAGACAGGGTGGGGTAAAGAGTGCCAGAGAATGGGGGAGGCTCTAGAGAAGGCCTGGAGGCGAGCATGGGAGGAGTTGACGAGGGAGCTAGAGAGCAGGGGGTCTTGGAAGGAGCGTAGGGGACGGTTGGGGTGATACTTTGAGACCAGGTTGGAGATGTAACCTGGGGCTGAGTTATAGATGGCTTTGTAAGTGGTTGTTAATATTTTGAATTTTATCCTTTGGGCTTTTGGAAGCCAGTGGAGGGATTGGCAGAGGGAGGTTGCAGACACTGAGCGGTTGGTTAGGGGAATGAGTCTAGCAGCTGCATTCATGATAGACTGAAGGGGAGATTGCCTGTGTAGTGGAAGGCCAACGAGGAGGGAGTTGCAATGGTCAAGACGAGAGATAACAAGGGAGTGGATGAGTAATTTTGCGTTTTTTGTTGGTGAGGAAGTGGTGTATTTTGTTACGAAGGTGAAGGCGGCAGGATTTGGATGTGGGGATGTCTTGTTTTAAATGTTGTAGGATAATAGCAAACTATGTAACATTACAGGGGATGACAAACGCTAAAGGCGGCATGCTACAGTCAAGGGAATGACCGTTATTTTAAAATGACCGTACTTCTTTCATTCTGCAAACAGCACAGCAATGTTTTTCTGTATCTGCAAACAACATTAAAGCTTTATCTTTCTTGCAGCTATACCAATTTTATTCTAAACATAATTTCTCAGAATCTTCTGCCTCTTCTACAGAGATTGGCTCTGTACAAAGCTTGAAGTCAAATTGGAGGTAGTCTATTGCATGGGGCATCCCCAGCAACGTCTGCACTGGAAGTATCAATTATGGTTGAAAAATTGCATAACTACAGGGATGCTTGCAGTGTAATGTTTATTTTTACAGTTCTAGGACTGACCTCGTGAGCCTTATAGAGTGAACCTTCCAGACAGTACTCGTTTTATAGTATAAGGCAAGGTGCGCTGGAATGGATTGGCTCAATATCTACAGAGAAGGTGCAGGTAAGGGAAAAAAAGTTGGCCCAAATCCTTGCAATGTATATAGTTGACGACACAGCCATAGTTTCCGTTAGAGGGAATTTGTCAAAGTGGCAGCTGGCTGCAATTCTGGCTCCTGAACTTCACAGTAATTCCAGTGGACAAAGTCCTATTTGTTAAGCTTAGTAATGGAAAACTATAGGAAACAAAATGTTGCCTTCCATGTTAGGTCTGGCAGCAAAGGTGTCTAAACACTGAAGACCATACATGATTGGGCAATACAAGTGCTAGCATTTTGAAAAAGAAAAAAAAAAAAATTTCATGGGTCAGAATTTAGCTGAGTGTATGGCGGCCACCTTATAGCTTTGGTCAAATTATACCTCACCAGTTTGCTGTTGGGGGCAAAAATAAAGGTGACCAAAGTCCTTCTGGCTTGTTTTAGGTCTCCAGAGTGTTGCATATTTATGCTTCAGAGATGAGATAATGAGCTGAATGATTTCAGGAGGAGCTAGCTTATACCTGGGGAACATTAGTGATTAGGCAAGGTGATACTGAGTGATCAATATCCTGCTTCCCTAAGAGCCATCGGTAGGGGGTGGACATCATCTGTTGCTGCCATAGATGTTAATGTCATGAGGCAATCTTCATCTCATGTGGCTATAGTGTCTTTCTTACTAGAAAGGTATCTTCAGTAATAGCTGTTAGTGATGTTTGTTCAAGCAGATTAATCCAATTACCATTCCTATTTGCCATTCCTGATAAATTGCCTTTGATTCCCTTCAGGGATTTTATTTGTCTTGCTGAGGACTATTTACCAGTTCGATCATATAGCCCTTGATGCACTCTATTTTCTTCCAGCCTTCCTGCCTGTGTAACTACAGAAAGAAGCCCCCCCCCACATAATTTTCACATTTAGATTACTAACTGGAAGACACTTCCCCCCTCAAGCAGAGTTTCTCAAATATCTTTAATATTCTAGCACTTTAAAGTTGAACTCTGGGGAAAAGAAAAATCCTCTGAATGCTCATTCATGCCTAGAGTTGATTTTTTGTTTTTTACTTGTCTAATCCCTCCCTCCCACAGATTCTTCTCTAAGGTGCTCCAGCGGTCACAGGCACTCTGACGTCTTTAGGTAAAGCGCAGGGCCAATAGCCCATCATTGTATGTGAGGATGCTAAGGAATTGCCCACAAACTGGAATTTCCGGTAGAATGCCAGCTCCCAGGAGAGTGAGGAATTAGGTAAGTAAAAGTCCTTTTTACTGGTATGCTAGGCATAAATGGGCATTTAACCTTTGTAGTGTGGAGGGAGCCCCACTACAAGGGAGGATGTTTCTTTCCTAAGAATTCAGCTTTAAAATTATTTTTCTACCACGTTCTTCAACTGTATAAATAACCACTTTAGATCTTCTCACAGGATGCATATTTGTGTGCAGTGTGTTAGCCTTGGACCAATGACCAACAAACCAGAGATACAAGTTCCCATTTTATCTCATGCTTTATTTTCTAAGGGGGAATTAAGAAGTAAAAGTTCAATATTCACCTCCACAGCCCTTCTAAACTTCTATACTATAAACCTGATATCTTTTTGGTTTGTGTGTATACTAAAAACCTCCCACAAACAACAGCAGCAGTTTACACCCTGAGCGTCTCCAGCATTGGGAGGCTATAAGGTCTTGTACATGTGGTCCTCGGTGTACAACAAAGCAATGTGTGCCGCAAGCTTTTACAAGATTTTTGCTAAACTTTCAACAAGCGTCAAGCAGCTTGGTTGAAGCCTTCAAAAATTATTGTTCAGGGATGCTAAACAGAGGTCTTAATGGGAGCGTGGACTGTCACTTTAAACAAGCTGCTAATGAGCTTTTAACAAGTTTCAAGTAGTGCTGAAGCTTCCTGAAGTCTGCTAGGGACTTACTTAAAGTGGCAGTCAGCACTCCCATTAAAGTGGAAGTAAGGATAAAAAAAAAAGCACACAGGCATGGCATGCCGAGATGAAGCAATTGCTGTTTGCATGAGCAGGAGTTACATCATTGGGGCCCACCCAATGAGGTGGCTGAAGACCGGGAAGATGATAGATGGCAGGGGATGAGTGCAGCAGTGGAGGGGATCGCTTTGGCAGTTAAGTCTGCCATAATGTGATAATATGCTGTGCATACTAGTACCGTACGTTATGGCTTAAAGCTCCAGGGGGCTTTATATATATATATATATACCCCCCCTTACTTTCCTTCCACTTTAAGATCTGGATTTAAAGTGACCCTGTCACCAAAGTGGAAATACAGACCATTTTTGGTGGCACCAGTTGTCTTATTTTTCCCACAATAATTCTTAAGAGAATATCAACTTGGAGTCACAAATAACTTTATACACCTATCTTATGTCAGTGACCAGATTAAAAAACAAAGCAGAGCAGGCGGGTACCCAGCGCCCATGGCTATGCTAAAATAGGTTCTGTCCTCCAGTGATTGCCATAATAAA